ATCTCAGTCCCCTCGCGTTGAGTCCCCCGGGCTGTTTCAGGAGCCCCCAATTCCGCAGGCAGGGCGTGGGGCTGCGACCGCAGCTGTTCTCCCGCTCTCTGCCTCTTGGCCTCCTTTTTCGAGGGTTTCCTGCACCCGTTGCCGCCCGCCTTGTGCCCAGCGGGCAGCCCTCTCGCGCTGCATACCGGGCATTTCGGTATCGCCTCGCATGACTGGGCCTTATGCCCCTCACCGCCGCACCTGTAGCATATATTGCTACGGTCTATGCTACTGCGGCACTGTTGCCGCACGTGCCCCCTCTCCAGGCACCTGTAACAAATCAAGGGCCTTGCCTCCAACAGGTCGACCCTCGCCGACATCCAACCGACCCTCAGTCGGCCGGATGCGGCCGCTTTCTTCGCTGCAGCCAGGGGGCACTGCGCCCATGCCGTGCTGAGCCCGTTCGTCGCACGCCTTAGTTGGCCCACTCTAACTTCGTTGGGCTCGCAGCCTCCCGCTTTGGCAACCGCCTCCTGAACATCCGCCTGGGTCGCCGAGTCGTCCAAGTCCTTCACGCGTACCTCCGCCCTTATCGTTGGGCGGGCCACCGTGACTCCCTCGGCATTCCCCATTACGGCCTTGATTCTCTCGGCCAGCCCGTCCGCCTTCGTTTTGGCGTCCTCCCCCAGGACCTCCAGGATGAGGGCCCCTGTCAGGGCTCTCCTGGGTCTAACCTCCTCTATTCCCAGATCCTCTAAATTGATCTGGGACTTAATTGCCCTCATGCCCTCCGCGTATGTGCCGGCGGGGAACGTGAGTGTTACCGCCTGTGCCCTAGGATTCCTCCTTTTGGCCGGGGGGGTCTTCCTGCTGCCATTCATTGGACCTTTCGCCTCTCTTTTCCGAGAGGGACCGTCTTGGTTTGGTATCGCCTTCTTCTTCGATCCCCTCTTCACCACTTCGACCCAGGAGTCCTGGGTCGCCTGTCCTACTTTGCCAGCCTTGTTTGCTTCCTTCGGGGGTCCCCCTTCGGTGCAGGTACCTCGCTGCTGAGTGGTCCTTGGCTGGCTTGCGGCCCTCTGGGTGGCTTGCCCTTTCTCATCCTTCGATTGGCTGGCCGTTCTCTTTTTGGCCACTTCCTTCTTCTTGGCCACTTCCTTGGTGTCGCCCTTGCCCTGCCCAGCACTACTTACTGCAGGTGCCGACTTGGGCGTCCCCTTCTTTGCTCCAGCCGCCTTTCCCGGCGCCTGCTTAGGCACGGGTTCTGCCTTCTTCTTTGGTAGCGTCGTGTCTGCCACCCCGTCCTTGGTCAGGGGTCTCGCTCCGGTCGGGAGTATAGCTAACGCTCCCTGGCATCGGATCATCAGGTTTCTCAACTTGCCCCTGACTTCCTTTGCGTTGCCCCGAGTGATGTCCCCAATGGTAACATTCTCCATTACCCTGCGAACATCTTCAAGGGCTTGTCCCTCCGTAGCCTCCGCTACCTCTTTTCTCACCCCCCTCACTTCCGGCCTGTACACCGGAGGTGGAAGGGCCATGTCCTCCTCGTCCTTGCCCGTGTCCCTGGGCTGGGATTGAGTCCTCACCTCCTCATCCGATGAAGAGGAGGGTGGCTCCACTCTCCTGATCTTCCTCTTGCGGAGCGCCCTTTCAGGCGTCCGCTGCGTGTCCTGCATCTGTAGCCGCTGCCTCTCTGCGGTGAGTCTCGCCACTTTCCCTTCGAGCTCTCTGATTTTTGCCCGGAGCTGGTCTTCTTCTCCTCCAGGGTCTCCCCCTAGTGCCGCGATCGGGGCGATTGCCTTGGCCGAGAGCGTCTTGATCGCCGCCCTCAGCTTGGACGCCGAGTTTTGTAATTCGTGGACGAAAGTGCCCTTTAGATTCGTTGAGCGCTCCGCCACCCTTTCAACCATGTACAGATATTCCGACATTTCTGCGGAAATCTGGTCCGGTCTTAGAGCCTCTAGATGCCTGACCGTTTCCCTCTCCGGCGTAATATTTCTCTTCAATCCTTTAGGCAGGTTGTTCCGATCCACAATAGCAGCGAGCGTCTTGTTCTGCTGTGTCAGGCGTCGGTTCAGCTGCCTGGTCTCCTTCACCTCCCTTCTCAGGGCAGTGTTGG